TAAATAGTATACCATATTCTACCGGGAGGCAATTAAAACCTTACCTCTAGGGTTCTAACTGTAGTCTGCATTTCAGCTAACTGCCGCACCTGTATTCTTTGGACACTCTCTACCTGAGCACCAGAATTCTCTTTTTCAGCCCTTAATTCTGCTACTTCAGCCTCTAAACCTTTTAATTTCTGACATAAATGGACTTTTTCTCGAACAAGTTGCTCCACTCGCTTGCTGTCTCTTGTGGGATCCACACTAAGCAGCTGGTTGTGTAGTTCTTCTTTATCTTTCTCCAGTCTTGCAATCTAATAATAATTTGAAAGAAAGACATACAATTTTAAATTATTGTATTTTCAGTCAGGAGCATGCTTTACAACTCAGCAAATTAAAATTAGAAATTGCACAATATGAAAGCTCATTTTTCAGTATTCATTTTTTAACACACAATGAAAAAAATTTTTTTAATGTCACGTTCTTCATGCTGTACTCAGCTTGACTCCAATGTGAGGACAAGGACTTGTTCTAATTTCCCTCTATCTACCCATGGTGTCTAATACAGTGCCTAATTATTTGTTAATTAAAATTCAAAATTATAAATAATACTATAAAAACTATTGTAATAGATGCATCAAGTATTTAAAAATTCATCAGAACATTATAGAAGAGTTTATATAAAATCAATACACTAACTAGTGCTAAGGTTTCCCTCATGTGACAAGTAATTCTTGGACTATGTCAATACGAATCAAATTATTTCAAGACAACTTAATTCACAAAAGCTGCTTGTCTGTATAAATAAATGCAAATGTGACTGATGGGAGTTTTTAAATGACAGCTGAGAGTTTGTTAAAGTCCTAGTGTAATGATGGTCTAGTTCTTAGTTCTTGAAGTTCAAGAAAGAACTAAAAATCATTACACTAGGGAATACAGAAAGAGTCACTGGGGAGCATGTTGAGTTGACAAACCAGTGTTCTTGTCGTGCTTGACAACTATCATTGCTAGGTACCAGGGGCCTTCGACTTTCAAACTGTTCTCTTACCTGTCAGGCACTTCTGAGGTCCCTCACTTCCACCTGTAGAGATGAGGGGACCTATCTAATCTATCTAATCAGGAGAGTACTCATTCCCCCTTTCTTCATCTCCCTAACTAGGTAGCCCCTACCACCACCACCAAATCTCTGTTGCTAACCAGAACAGCTCCTCTTTTTAATCTTTCTACTATATATTGGATTTCTTCAACTTAAGATTTGATTCACTTAAAGAAAGGATTCAGCTGTTGAAAACAAAAACCAATTCTGCTCTAAACAGTATGAATTGTTAGTATCCAAGGTGAACTTAGAAGGTCCATTCGAAGACAAAGGACTCTAAAGTAATGCTCTGCAACATAAGCAAAAGTGACTAAGAAACAACTGAATGTTCACAGAGCTATCACTGAATATGAGACCTCTACTCCAGAGCAAAATCTGTTTCCTCATCTCTAAAACGAAACATTAGACAAAAGATGCTCTTTCCAGTTTTAACATGTAGTGATTCCAACTTAATTTTGAACATACTGAACTAAAGATACCAATGGGAACTATAAGGAGAGTTATAGTTGTGTGGTGTGGGAGGATAAGCACTGGATTGCTAATTCCAAGGTCGGTGGTTCAAACCTACCAGCTGCTCTTCAGAAACCCTATACAGGGTCACTTTGAGTTAGAATCAACTCCATGACACTTAACAACATCCCGGAAGTAAAATAATGTTTTTTTCCCAGGAAGCTAAATTTATCCTAGAAGGTAGCTGTAGCATTCAAAGCCAATCCCTGAAAAACCCAAATAATTAGTGTTTCTCTCCTATTTTTCTTCACACCCTTTACATACATTGTCCCAAAACTTGCAATTGTTGTTAGATGCTGTTGAGTAGGCTCCGACTCATAAGGACTCTACACATAACAGAAACAAAATATGCCTGGTGCAGTGTCATCCTCACAATTGTTATGTTTGAGCCTATGCTGCTACTGTACCAATCCATCTAGTTAGGGGTCTTCTTTTTCAACAACCCTCCATTTAACCAAGCATGGTGTCCTTCTCCAAGGATTGATCCCTCCTAACAACAGTTTGAAACTACCAGCTATTACGCAGAAGAAAGATGAGGCTTTCTGCTCCCGTAAAAATTTATAGCCTCGGAAACCCTGTGCAGGGTCGCTATGAGTGGGAACCAACTCCACAGCACTTAACAACAAAAACAAATAACATGTCTGAAGTAAGAGGGACACAGTCATGCTATCCTGGCTTCAAAGAAGAATCTGGCTGTACTTCTTCCAAGACATATTTGCTTATTCTTCTGGCAGTCCATGTGCTTTTTTTTTTTTAATTTAAGGTTTTTATTGTTGATTGAGTGAAAGTTTACAGGGTACATCATAAGTTTCACATTCAACAATTCATATAACTTGTTTCATTACACTGATTATAATCCCCTCCGTATACCATGAGTTAAAAGTATTTCTATCCACTTTGCTGTTGTCGTCAGGTGACATCGAGTCGGAACCGACTCATAGCGACCCCATGCACAGCAGAACGAAACAATGTCCAATCCTGGGCCAACCTCACTACTGCTGCCACACTTGATGCCATCAATGATGCCACCTGGCTGATCCATCTCGTTGGGGGTCTTCCTCTTTCTCTCTGACCCTCCACCCTACCCAGCATGACATCCTTCTCCAGCGACTGTTCTCTCCGGACAATGTGTCCGAAGTATGAGTGACGAAGCCTAGTCATCTTGGCCTCCAAGGAGCACTCTGGTTGCACTTCTTCCTAAACAGATCTATTGGTTCTTTTGGCACTTTCAGTATACTCCTCCAACACCACAACTCAAAGGCATCAATTCTTCTACGATCTTCCTTATTCACTGTCCAGCTTTCGCATCCATATGAG